ATAATTCCTGCTTCCTTAGACAGCTGGAGGATTAGGTAGGATAAAAGATATGAAATTATACTCAAAGGGATAAGATATGTATTATTTCAATTTGAGTTCCCCAAGTAGTGAGATAAGGGTTTCAAGTACAGGTAGTTTATTTGGGAGATGATCTGAGGAAATACTGATTGGGAGTGGGAAAGGGAGACAGAGAAGGGAAGGCAGTGGATAAAGGTGTGCTCTCAAGCCAGTTACCACTGGAGGCACCTGGGGCTCTGTCCACTGCAGAGCTCCAGGACGTAGTACAGAACACACACCTTCGAGTTATCCCCATGGGGGGGTCAGGGAGGTGGGATATCTACACACCCATTCCCATCAGTCATTGATGTGGACTGCTGGGGGTGGGTGTTAATTCCCTGTGGCTCCTAACCTGCTGATCCAGGGAGAGCTCCAGCAGCCCAAGGGGAGCCCTGAGAAAGGAATTGCAGGTGCAGGCAGTTGGAAGTCATGGAAATTGTTGGCTCTGATGGGATACAGGTGGAGCACTGACGTATCTATTACTGTAACTATCCTTCAAGTTCCATTACAGCATACTAATTATCATCATCAAAATAATATTTGGATAGAGATGCTTTAGTGTTTCCCCAAATCTCTTTTCCAAACACTGTCTCAAAACCTACCTTGTCTATGGAAACGACTCCAGCCCACGCTCGAGTCTGAACTCCTATGGCCTGGTGGCGTGGCCTCAGCTAGCCCTTCTTGTACTGTGGTCTTGTCGTCCCTGATGCCCTCTCCTGCCCCTCTCCCACCTCCCACCTAGCATGGGATTGGGAACACACAGATGCTCAAGAAGGACTTGTTAACCAATAGAATTAAATTCAGGATGCAACATGAGTTTTCACTCATGTATTCCCATTTCCATCTAGAAATGTCATTTTTGAGCCAGATACCTCCTGATGAGAGTGACGTGTTAGGGAGGCCTGCATAAATAAAACTCATGAATGATAGCCAAATCTCTTCTTAGAAATTAGATTCCATCTTTCCCCCCAGCAAAATGTTCAGTGGAACTGCTCACATGGAGCAAAGTCAACTGGCCTGGGTTTCTCCTCTGCCACTCTGAGCAACCCTCTCGGGACATTTGTGTTTTAAAAACATCTTCTTATCTCAAAATCTTCTCTATCCCCAGTTGCCAACCCCTCATACCACTGGTCCTCAGCTCCTGGGTGCTGGCTCCTTGCAGCCAAGACCAGGGCTCCCTCAGCCTTTGTGGGTTTGGTGGACTGTTCAGGTATCTCATTCCCACCCCACGGCCCCCCACCTCCATGCCAACCCATGTTCGGGAGCTTTCAAAATGGCTTCTTAGCGGACCCTCCCAACCGAAGACAGCCCATTGGCCTGAGACCTGCTATGAGTGAGGGGTCAAGAGGGAGACAGGCCCTCCTCGGCAAGAATATCTGTCTTCCTCTTCCCTCCTAAGCTTGATATCTTGAAACCATATTCACTTATGGGAAACAATCAAGGGCCTTGATTTTTCCATTGTCATCTTTTTAAAAAAAATTGGTTCATGGGAGGTGAAAGCCTTAGATAGAAAAACTCCAAACAGTGCCCAGAACAACCCACTGCACATTCTCAAAAACGCTAGTGATCTGCCTGCAGCTTAATTTTTTCGATAATACACAACAGAGCTGTCTGCATTTTTTCCCACTCAATTGAGTGACTTTTTGATGGATTTGACTGGTTGTTTTGGCATCGCGTAGGCACAAACTCGAGCTGGGGCTCCACAGAGGCGGCGAAATCAGACATGAATAATAATCATAATAAACCTTCGCAACATTTGAAAGTTTCCAAAGTGCTTTTCTGCACATTTACCTCGTTTCATCCTAAAGCGCCCTGCGACATAGACAGAATTGGTATTACGGCACCCGTTGTACCAATGAGGGACAGAGAGGCCCATAGATGGGCCCTGGCTTTTCCCGGCCCTGATCAGAACTGGACTCATCCAGGGCTCTTTCCACACTGGGAGAGAGCGAGAGAGAGGATATCTGGTGGGGCCTGCAGGGCAGGAGGCTGGGGCAGAGACACTTCAGAACGTTAGCTTGGGTAGGGTCGGTGGGGTTCAGGGAATCAGGTTCTGAAAAGGAAAGCAAACATCAGGGCGTTGGACACCAGCCTGGGACCACGCCCCTGATGAGGTGGGAGCCAGAACTAGGGCTTGCAGGCACCACATGTGAAGAGGTCTACAGGGCACCTTACCTCCTCCTCAACAAGGGCTGGTGCCAGGCATAGCTGTGAGGTGGCACACTTCGTCTCCAGTGCCCCTCTGGGCTCCCTGCTCCAGTGGGCTGGCCTTTCTACCAGCTCCACTGGCTCCAGGCACATCATCCTTGGCCCCAGGCTCCCTGGCCCTGGCCCACTGTTTCCATCTGCCTCATCCCCAGGGAGCTCCCTGCCCCATCTCCCCATTCCTGGGATCCAGCTCTCTGTTTGTGGATGTAACAAACTGCTTGCCAGGGAACATCTCCCAAGGCCGCAGGTAAAATCGTTTGTTTTTCCAGGGACCTATTGAGGATGCTGCTCCCTCTCAGCTTAGCCCAAGCTGTCATCCTGAGATGTGTACTTCCCATTGACCTTGCCTTGGAGGACTTGCTCAAATCCTGCTTCCTCCAGGAAGCCTTTGTTGATTGCTCTGGTCCACACTGACCCTGGGCTTTTGTGACCTACTGAGAAGGTGAATTGATGTGGTTGTGGTCCCCAGCTTCTCCTTTATATTCCTCCTCCTCCTCCCCCTGCTTCTCTTCCTCCTCTTTTAAGAAGTAGTGCTGGTTTCTTTATTTGCACTTATGGCCTATGAAAAAGAAAACACTATGCTTGACTTTCTCCCTTCCTCCCTCCTTTCATTTTAACAAATATGAAGTCCTTCATTATATTCCAATAAGAAGCTTAAATATTTTTACTTAATGAGAGATCTTACTTATTTAAGCAACCAAATAACCATCTTTCCCAGTATAATTGCAAAAGATCTGACTGAATTTTTCTTTGTAGCTGCTGCCTTGTGTGTCAGTAGCTCTGTTTCAGGAGAAGGTCTCTCTGCCCATTCCCTTCACCTCCTACACACCCTTCATCCTTAGCTGACTGCCATCTTCACCTTTTCACTCTGCCTTTTCTAGCTTAGTTTTTAGGCAAACAAATATTCTTAGAGCATCGGGGTTTTCCCAGAAAGTTCCCTTGACTTTCTTGCCTTGAGTAAAATGTCAATTTTCATCAAACATACAGCTGTATTGGGTTCCAGGTATCACCTTTATACCATCACTTTAAAATACCCTTGAAAAAATTTCTTTCCTTGTGATACATGCCACCTGCTGTCCCTCCTTGTCATTGGAAAGCACATATTTCTGGTCACTTTCCTTGTTGAGGGGTCTCAAAATTCTTGTCACCACTGTCTCTCCACCAAGATTATCCTCAAAATGTCTAACATCAAATCAATCCAATCACCCACTCTGCTTCTGCAGCTACATTGCTAGGCTGTTAGGGAATATCACACAAAGGTAGGAATTCCTGCCACCAGAAGCGTCTGGTCTCCCTGGCATCTAGTTCCCTTCTACTTTTTTGAAGTGTCCCTTTCTCCACCTTTTCTCCACCCACCTTCCTTCTTTCCTTCTCCCTCTCCTCTGGCTCTGTTGTACACACACAATGGATTCCAGTGTCCTCAGGGTTACTCCCACACCTCTTACCAAAACGTTATGGGAACTGACACACCTCTTCCTCTGGGTCTTTTCAATCTAGAGTCATGAAATGCAGCACTAGTGGTGGAGCTCCAGGCATCAGCTGGGGCATGTTTGGGTGAGGGTGTGAGTTCATCTGGGAGCTCCTGAAATTCATAAATAGGGGATTTGGGTTTGTGATATGTGGCACTGAATTGATTACCTTTCTGTCATTTTGAGATGTCTCATCTTTAACTCATCTCCCAGTAGACATGGAGCATGTTCCCCATCTTGGAAGGGATATGTAAATGGGGTGCTGTTGAGTGGGGCAGAAGACGGGAGAAGGGAGCAGACATGGGCAGAGGAGCAGCTGCTGCTCCTGCTCAAGCTCCCTGCACAGGCCTCCTCCAGGGACCTGGAGGATACACACCCCCTACATGTCTCCTCTGCGTGGGGTTGGGGGCCCCTCCTGGCTTCCTCCCATGGTGGCTCCCATGCTTCTAGGCTGCAGATGCTCTTTCTGTCTTCCATACACTTAGGGTGGCACAGGCGGCTACTGTGAGGTCAGCACTGGCTGCCCAGTTGGGAAGATGAGGATAAACATCACTGGCCACCGTAGTCCAACTCGGGGCGCAGGCTCCAGGGTGTTTGGGATGTGTCCTTGTCCCCCTGGGGATCATGGGGGTTCTGGGCCCTTATCACCCCATCCTACTCCAATTTCCCTTTGAAGGGCCTGACAAAGGCAGGGTCCCCCTCCCTTCGCCCTCCTGTGCAAATGTGAATCATATTTCATTTTATGGCATTTTCTTTCAGTGAAAAAACACATAGTTTGACCAATTAAAGCCTCTTTTGGACCAAGCCCCTGACAGAATCGGAGAGGCAACTGAAAAGGACGTCCTGTTCCTATGGTTTTTTGTCTCTCTCTCCCGTTTTTCTTTTTTTCCCCTTGGTCACGGTTCAGATTTAGAGGGAAGCAGTGATGGGAATAAACTGTGTCCACTCTGGCCTCTTGGCGGCTGTAGGGATCCAGCCCCTGCCAGTCCAGAGAGACAGAAATTACTTGGAGAACTCTGAGTGAGCTCCCAGGCTGGGAGAGGAAGATGGGAAAGGGGCTGTCTCCTTGGCAGCCCCAGAGTGGGTGTGAGGGGAAGGGTCCACTCAGAGAGAGCAGAGAAGGCAGGAGGGAGAGACCAGAGTGGTCAGAGGCTCCCCTCACAAGCTGGCCCTGCTTCAGGCATGTGTCAAACCTGGTGGAAGGAGATGCTGCAGGTATGATGTTAAGGAGCATTGTGACAGTGCCATGGGCAGGGCCCCCCTCACTGTCCTATGAGCCCTGCAAACAGCAGCTTAGTGGATCCTGGAGGTAAGGCCGGGGCAGAAGAGGAAAAACAAGCTGGATGTGGCATGGTAAAGGTAGCTGATGGGTTAGCTTGTGAGACCCTCTGGGGACTCTCAGAATCACTGAACAAGCAAAGAGGAGGTGTCTTTCATGAGCAGCACCAGTAACATATTCCTGCTTACTGCCAAGGGAACCCTACTTGTACCACCAGAAAGGCTGTAAATACCTGGGGAAATTGGATCATGGGAGACGGGAAGGAAGGAATAAAAGTAAATTTGTTGGATGTTTATGCACCTGGCATGGTGTCAGGTCTGGATTAGGATAGCAGCTTCAGAGGTGGAGAGAAGTGAATGGTCCCAGGGCTAGTCAGGAAGTTGAAGGGAGAAGACAGGATCAATGTGGGAGTGATACGATGGCCACCTCTTTCAGCCTGTGCAATTGGTGTAGGACCCTTGCTCTCAGATCCTGCTACTGATACGAGGAATGTAGCAGCGAGAGACACAAAAGCGAACCCTCTTCCTGTGGGATTCCAGCCTAGGAGGGAAGACGGCGAACAAGAAGCGACAAGTGTGTTGCATGCTACCGAGAGGTGAGGAAGAGGCCCCTAAGGTGGGTTTGGGCATCTGGCTAAGCTCCTGGAAGGTTCTCCAGGGTCTCTAGGGATACCAAGGAACCCAGATGGGAGGGAAGTATAAGACAGAAGGAGGAAAGCAGGACTTGGAGCTATTCTTTTACAGTTGGCAGGGTCGCTGAGTGGGCATTGCTGGCCGAAGCCTGTAGCACTTTACCCAGACAGTGGAGGATTAAGGTTGCAGGTTTGGACATGCTGAGTCAGGTCCCTGGGAGACCTCCATGTGCTGATGTCCAGTGGGTGGTCAGATAGATAAATGTGGCATTCATCAGAGGACTCGCAGTGGCATATTCAGGTTTGAGTCCATTAACATATTTGTGGCAGTTGAGGTCATGGGATAGGGTTGTCCAGTGAAAAGAACGAGCCCTGGAAATGGCTGACCTTCCTTACTCTCCCCACCCCTGCCACCTCTCTCTTTGATAAAACAGTCCAAGACTAATGAACAAACTTGGGGTGATAAAAGATGCACATGATTAACATTCAAACAATACAAAAGAGTATCCAGTGAAGAGTGAGTTCCCCTTTCCCTCCTGATCGCTACAAACCCCTATTCCGTCACCAGAGATATAACACTTTCTTATGCATTCTTTTAGAGATGTTCTATGTCTATGATGTAACTTTATATATATGTTAGAACACTACATTTACCTTTCTACATCTTCTAAAATTTGCTAACTATCTTGGTGATCATTCCTTATTAGTACTAAAAATCCACCTCATTCTTTTATATAGCTGGGTCATATTAATATAATGTCACATGACATACATGTTTCATAATTTAATTAAACAGTTCTCTACAAGTAAGAATTCAGTCTGTTTTCAGACTTTTGCTATATAGACAACACTGCAAAAATGTCCTTGTGCGTACAAACATTTAGGGATTGATTTTGGCTGCATGTAACAGAAAAATCAAACAACAGAAGAGGAATTTAAACAACATAGACATTTGTTTTTCTTCCCCTCACGTAATAAGAAATCTAGCTTAGGCAAAACTGACATGGTTTAGTGGCTGAATAAGGTCACAGTAAGTTCTTGTGCCCTTTTTCTTGTGGTTACAAGATGGCTGCTGCAGCTCTAGCCATCATATCCATATTCCAGGCAGGAAGACAATAAGGGGGAGAGAGTGCATCACACAGTAAGTCTGTTATATCCTTTTAAGAATTTCTAGAAGCTTTAGCAAATAATTTTTCCTTATACCTCATTGGCCAGACCTGTGTCAAACAACTGTCCCTATCTCAAGGGAGGCTGAGAGATGCCTTTTAGTTGGGCTCACTCTTTTTTGCCAACAAAATCAGGTTTTGTTGCAAAGGGGAGAATGGATACTGGGTAGATGTCTAGTAGATTTTATCTCTAGTACAAATTTTTATAAATGGAATTGCTGGATTAAATACTCTCAAACATTTAAAATTTTGATTGTGCCAAATTATCCTCCAAAGGGCTTGTGCCAGGGCACTTGTACAGTGCATGAATATGCCTGTTTCCCCACATCGCTGCCTACAGACTGCTGCCAAACTCTTCATGGTTTGCTAATCCAATGAGTGAAAAATGATCTCGCACTGTTTTAATTTGCATTCCTCTTGTTTTGAGTGAGGCTGAACATCTTTTCATATGATTAAAAACGTTGGCATTTAAAGAGTAATTGCAGAAAAAATTCCAAGAGAGGGAATGAGAAAGTAAGAAAATGACAAGCAGTGACTGAGGAAGGAGGAGAAAACCAGGAGGGTCAAAGAAGGGGATGAAGGAGCTTCAAAGACAAGAAGAGGATGTGAGGGACTCTATCAGATGTGCAAAGAGATAAGATGAGGACAAAGGAGTGCACACTGGGTTTGGCAATGTGGAGGCTACTTGGAACTCCACGTTGGTGTAGAAACCAAGTGAACCTCCTCTCCTGAGAAGTATTATTTTCCTGTTATTTAAATGAGTAAATAAATCCAGAGGGGTTAAATAACTGCTCAAGGTCACACAGCTTGTAATGGAGGAGCTGGAATTTGAATCCAGGTGTGTCGGACCCCCAGATACCCAGAAAGTGAATCCACAGAGGCTGTGATGGAGGGAGAATGTTTGGAATTACTTTCTTGAAGACCTGGAAAGGGCCTTGCCGTTTATGGATCCCCTGACTAATTTTACAAATGAGGGAGCGGAGTTCCATTAAAGTGAAGAGACTTGCTAGAAAGAGTGGGAGCCCAGCAAGAGCTGGGCTCGTCCAGCGCGTTTTGTGGGATCACTTTTTTCTCCAGCAGGGGGCGCCAGCCAGCAGCTCGGGCTAAGTAAAAAAAAAAAAAACAAAAAACAAAAATCACCTGAGGCGGTCAGCACCACGGACAGGGCAACATACCTGGGCCTTAGGGGAAGCCCCAGCCTCCTGAAGGAGAAAACTGGACCCAAGTCTTAATGTAGTTAAGTATTCAAAAAAGACCAGGCTATTGTTAAATTCTGGGTCCTGTTGGTAGTCCTTTGGAAGTGATACAGGTGCTTAATGCAGACCTGAAAATTGCTTTTCCATTTACTCTGGTGGCAGAACTTCTAAGCTGCCCCACCTGGGGTCACAAACGTAAGTTATTATCTATCCTTGGCTCTCAATAAAGCCAACCAGATGGCCAAACCCCTAGTGCGTTGACGGTTCATTCGCCCATTCATTTAAAATATTTTTACAATTAGGCTTAAATTAATTTATTGTAATTCTAACAAAATATGGGCTAGCACCCAGATAATCCCTGTTGAGGAGTTTGTTCAGAGTGGCAAGGTGCCCAGCGTCTGAAGACAAATCATGATTGGCTAAGCCAGTCATGGTAATAGATTCCTTTTTTTGTTCGAATACTCACTTTCCCAGAAACTGTTGCAACTGGATGACAATGGGGGTGGTCATGCGATACAGTTCTGACCAATGAGATGAAAGAGATGGGCATGTGAAGAGTGGTCATTGGTATTAGCTCTCCCACCTTTTTCTTTCCTTGAATGTGAACATGGTGCCTGCAATAGAGTCAGCCATCTTCTAACAGCAAGTGCCAATAAGAGACCAAACAGCCTGAGCAGAAAGATAGGTCCTTGATGACTCTGTTACTGACCCTGGATTCCAATCTCTAAGTTTCTTGTTATGTGAGATGATTAAACATCTTTATTGTTTAAGCCACTGTTACTAAGCTGCCTTGAGTGTTTGTAGATAAAACCATTTCTGTTATACTGTTGGGCTTTTTATTTATACAAAGGCTCACTCATTGTTCAGCAAATTGCATTCTTTAATATATCTTGGAGATTTATTTATATCATTACATAAAAGTCTGCCTAATTCTTTTCTTTTTACAGGCATCTAGTATTCCATTACAACACATGTACCACAATTTATTTCCCATTTCCCTATTAGTTAACATTTAAATTGCTTCTGTTTTTTTTTTTTGCTATCACAAAGCAGAGCTTTGAACATATATATCAGATACTTCTTGTCAGTGTATGTGGAGGTTAAATTGCTAACTGTGGAATTGCTGGATGAAATGCTGTATAAATTATAAAACTTACTGGTGTTGCCACATTGTCTTCCAGAAGGATTCCATCTATATCCATATTCACTAATAGTGCACATATGCCTATTTCCCTAGACTGTCATTGCAATGACTCCTATTAAAATCCTGATTTGAAAAGGTATATTCTTGTTTTAATTTGCGTTTTAAAATTTATTATTAAGGTGTTCTTATGTATACAGGAGATTTGCATTTTTTTCTTTTGTAGCCTTTTGTTCTTACTCTCTTCTCCATTTTTTACCCCCATAGAATTGTTAGGGTCCTTCAGCAGATTTTTGTGTGTGTATGTGAATTTGAAAGATTAATCCTTTGACATATGTATTACAAATTTTGCCACCCCAATTTCCTGTTCATCTTTTGGCTTTCTTAATAGTATTTCTCATCCCTCAAAAGGACTTAATTTTTATGTGGTTGCAGGTATCAATCATTTTCTATGGCTTCTGGGTTTTTATCTTAGAAAAGAGTTTGCCCTCCTTTCTAAGATAAAAGTATTATAAATGCATTTACCAATTCTTTCCTCCTCTTATGGTTTTTAAATTACACTTAGATATTTGCTTCTAATTGATTTTATCTTATTTAAGGAGTAATATAAGATTTGCTTTACATGTTTTTCCAAATAGGCCCCTCTGTTTCTGGCTCTGAGATACTGGACTCACATCTGGGGGCCTGGATAAGTCATGATTGTCTTCCTGTTCTTGTTAGACACAGACTCTCTTTGGAGGTTTGAAGATACCAGAAAATGTCATAACCCAGGGGAATGACAGTCTGTGGGGGTTTTCAGCACTAGGGCAGGCGGGGCAGGGGAGGAAATTGGGGAGTAGAGGGTCTGTTCTAAATCCACAACCTTCGGGATGATAATGTTTTGAAGTCTGCTCTGAAAACTGACTGGCGGGACCCAGACACCAGGGACTTTGAAAATTTCCTTCTTATCAGAGGCTGGCCAGAACTGTCAGCAAGGAATCATCAGACAACCTCCAGGGGCTCCTCTAACACTCTCTCTGACAGGTTCAATCTTGGCCTTCCTTCCCCAGGTGTCCAGCAACTACTCTTTCAACTGCATCCTGGCCTGGCTCCCTCCTGTCTTCCTAGCTCCTCAGTCAGTGTCTTCCTTCCTGGCCCTGGGCTTCCCCAGGTCCTCATGCTGTCCCTGTACCACCCTCAGAGCCTTCCCAGTAAAAATCCCAAGACAGGGATTTTCCTCCCTGATCAGGAGTGGGTTACAGGGAGAAGCCAGAGTTCTTGGCACAAAGGAAATTGGGGTCATCCATGAATATACATAGTAAATGCTGTATGAGGAGTGTAGATTTTGCAGATGGACTTGCTTTAAAACTGTCTTTAGGATTATTTGAGAGGCTAAAATAAAAGGGAGTGGAAATACTAGGTTGGCAAAGGTATGAAGCAACCAGACCTCTCATATGTAGCTCATAGGTGCATACAGCTACA